GACCCTAAAGTGAAGGGGGCCTCAGGCCAGCCCATTAATACAACCCAATTGAAAATAAGGCATAATCATAAATAGCCCAAAACAAAGCTAGGAGATACTGTTCTCATCAACATTACATCCACTTCTAGACTTTGTCATCCTTAGCTCTTTAGATTGAAATTCGATCCAGTCCATAATAGCACGTGTTTGCTCTTCATCGTCTGCAACAAGGTCTGCCAACTCGGCAAAAGCTCGACACATTTTGTCATATCTCAATTGTCTAGGAGTACCGTAGATGACTGCGACCCTCGTGTGGGATCTACTAACATCTCTCCTCCATCTCCTCAACATATATTTCTCCGGCAACGATGTGATGTCATTACGAATCAAGACTGAGATCGCATGCCTGCAAATTATTCCTAGAAACTCGAATAAATGGCAACTGCAAATAATGTCACAGTTCTCTCTCCGAAATGAGACTGAAAATATTCTTTTCTTAACTCGCTCGTCATTTATGACATCCTCTCTTACCTCGTACGTCGTCCCCAAAAATCCCTCCGAAGCAGATATGACTTCGCAATAAATCTTCCCAATGAACTCATCTTGAAATTCCTTGAATTTTGAAATGGTATAAATTGCATGAAATTGCTTCTCCATTTCATACTTTGTTGCACATGGTACCATTTGAAAGTATGACTTGAAATCTGCTTGATACTCCTTCTCAACTTTATTCCTCAATGCTCGTTCATACTGTTCAAAAAACTGTTTCAACGAGGTCTTTGGATGCAAATATCCATCAAAGAACGAAGTCATACTCTCACTGCTTTGTGTTGTTGACATTCCTGGCCAAAAAGTGGTTTTTGAAAAGCAAGGAACCCAACGATCTCGATTCTCGTACAATCCCGACAACCAAACATTGTTATGCAAGTCATACGTATCAATCATCGCTCTCCAACCTTCTTCAAATTCTTCAACAGTTTGTGAATCATACACCAATACGTGCATAACCGAAAATATCGAACTCTTATCCACGTGGTAGCCAAACTTTTCTGACCACTTCTTCAATATGTGCCATAAACACCATCTATGCTTCGAATTCGGAAACACGATCTGAATTGCATTTTGCATAGTCCTATCTTGATTGGTAATTATTCCATGGGGGGCTTGATCGTGCATACACTGTAGCCATGTCTTAAACAACCACACAAAAGTATCTGTATCCTCATTCGATACCAAACCACATCCAAGCAGTATTGATTGCCCGTGGTGATTCACTCCAACAAAAGGGACGAAAGGCGTGTCGTACTTATTAGTGAGATAAGTGGTATCAAATGTAACAACATCACCAAACTCTTTATATGCTTGTCTGCTCCTATTATCTGCCCAAAATACATTTTTTAGCCGCAACTCCTCATCCAAATCCATGCTAAAATAAAATTCTGAGCACTGTGCTTGTATTTTTGAAAAGTAGGACTGTATTGCTGCAGCATCTCCTTCTCCAATTCGTAACTGCCTCACTTGTTCAATATAGTTTCGACAATCCTTTTTCACATAAGTCATATTTTCACCTCCACCTGCTTCAAGAACTACAGAAGTGCAACTTTTGTGCAATGGATTTTTTGTCATATCATACACTTCAGGCCTTCGTTTCAGATGTGCACTCAGCTCTCGGTTGCATCGATACAACCTGGACTTGAAAGAACTTATTTTATGATTGTGGTCAAGATGGATTACAGTAATTTTCCAAGTTCCATCAATATCTGCAGATGCAGCCAGCCTAGCTTTACAACCTGTAGGAATGGTTGCTTGAGGCTTCTTAATGCTTCTTCGACCTTCATGGCTACATGTAAATGTAACATACCTCACAACTCCATCATCCCCCTTCTTGGAATTTCTCTTTCTAACTGGGAAACCTACGTTATAAGCATATCTTTTGTAAAACTCAAACATTTCTTTTTCATCCTTAAACTTCATACCCACCTCGGGAACAATCGCACCATCTCGTCCTAATTTTTCATCTTCCACTATGTTCATATTGTCCATAACGTTCTCGTTATCGGATCCTACCATAAATTTGCCATCCACATCTTCCAAAATTTATTTTGCTGCAACAAAATAAGAGGTAACGTTCAGTAAAACAAATTACACAACAAAAACTCATTTCAAATTGATATAAAATAATCAATCATTGTGATTTATAACATTAGAGGCACGTGGTAATGGACATTTTCTCTGAAACTGGAAGTATGATTAAGATGAGCATGAGTTATAAAGCTTTAAATCAATATTTGAGCATAAAAGCCCTGTGACGTTATTCCTATGGTCATGCAGAAATAAAAACACCATAAATCCTTTTTAGACATTTCACATTAGAACCATTAATGTTTTGCTTTTGCAAGTGTAACAAAATCATAAACTAGATATTAAAAAGTTGCAATTCTGTCAGATTCAGAAACTAGACATTAGAACCAGCATGGAAAACAGTCTGTCATCTCTTCGATACCTGCCAACGCCTCGACTGAATGAAGATGGGTTTGGCGCAGGTGGTTTGAAAGGTGGGGTAGAGGTCCGGCGTCAATTTCAGTGCGGTTCCGGTGGAAGTGTGGGCTTTGGGCTTTAAAATGCGGCCGGAGATGCGGCGCCCGTTGTTAGCTGGAGGTGAAGATGGATTGAATCGCGGCAGGGGTTTCAATCTCTAATTTGGGGGAAATTGGCAAGTGTAATGCGTCAAGGGAATGGGCCGGTTTTTCGATTCAGCTCCTTA